GAATACTGTCCCTCTGAATCATAATTCCCACCAACTTCAACAAAATCAACTTATAGCAAAATCATTTTGTGGATATCAATCAATTATGTGTTTAAGTTCTTCAGATCCTATTGCACAATAATATGGCTGTATGTTGTGGAAACAGAGATTATACAAATATCTAGAATATACCACATTCTAAGACAAACATTTATTTTTGATCCATTCTAAACCCAAGCTTACAGTCACACTTGTAGTTCCCCAAATGTATTAATGCAAATTTGGTTGACGTGCGAGGTGGTTTTTTTCATCCCATGTGGTCTGTAGAGCCCTGGCATTGTTCCAAGGAAGTTATCCCACTTATGGCACCGATGTGGCTGGTTACATTGTTGTTCCTGCACTGGACATATGCTTTTCCTTTGCTGTGTATGATGCATCTGTCCCCCTTGATCATTTCATCTGTTGTGCTGTGGTTTTCAGTGAGACTTGGCGTATGTAACCTGAAAAACATCAAGTGCATCATTCATTCTTATGTCAGGTTAACATCTTACATTCTGAATCAGTCTGTATTGGTCACCATGGAACCACTTCATTACTGGTCCATTCCTCTCTTTGATTCTAAGCTTAAGATTGCCCTCCCCACAGGTGTCCACAGCTTCATGTNAGATCCTATTGCACAATAATATGGCTGTATGTTGTGGAAACAGAGATTATACAAATATCTAGAATATACCACATTCTAAGACAAACATTTATTTTTGATCCATTCTAAACCCAAGCTTACAGTCACACTTGTAGTTCCCCAAATGTATTAATGCAAATTTGGTTGACGTGCGAGGTGGTTTTTTTCATCCCATGTGGTCTGTAGAGCCCTGGCATTGTTCCAAGGAAGTTATCCCACTTATGGCACCGATGTGGCTGGTTACATTGTTGTTCCTGCACTGGACATATGCTTTTCCTTTGCTGTGTATGATGCATCTGTCCCCCTTGATCATTTCATCTGTTGTGCTGTGGTTTTCAGTGAGACTTGGCGTATGTAACCTGAAAAACATCAAGTGCATCATTCATTCTTATGTCAGGTTAACATCTTACATTCTGAATCAGTCTGTATTGGTCACCATGGAACCACTTCATTACTGGTCCATTCCTCTCTTTGATTCTAAGCTTAAGATTGCCCTCCCCACAGGTGTCCACAGCTTCATGTGGCCCTGTCCAATTTGCATTCCAAAGCCCTTTCTGGAGGCAATTTTTGACCAATACTTGTTCCCCTTTTGTAAATTTGGCAATGTTGTGTTTTACATCATCATCCCATTGACTTTTGTTCCGCTGGTAGGTATTTCCTATGGTGTGATTTTCAGACAGAAAATCATCTTCTAGAATTCTCTGGACATTTTTTGAGAACATGTCATGTTCTGCCCAGTCTTGGATGAGTTGTGAAGTGCTTTGCTGTGTTTCAGTGACTGCAGGGCCCGTGTCTGCTAGCCACTTGACACAGTAGCCCCGAAGTGTAATTTCAACACTGGGTCTGGCAAAATCATCTGGTTTCACATCATCCAATTTTTTAACAGATGCCAGGTGCCCCTGTGACTTCAAATAAGCATTCCCCTTGCATTTGATACACGAATCAGTCTGAGTAGCACGCTAATGTGCTACCACTTCTTTAATTTCATGTAATCATTTGTTCATATCTTCATTAGTCATTGCTGGTACTGATGGGGTTGGTTCTTTCTTACATCTAGATTCCCCATCTCTCTGTACCCTTGGCCTGTGTCCTGCTGCACCTCCACCCTTTGACCAACAATCCTTCCTAAAATGACCTATCTTACCACAATTGTGACAAGCATCTTTCCTAGCAGATTTAAGCCTATCTTCCTTAGTGAGTACTGCTGAAACCTTTTTCACCTTTCCTAAGGGACTTCGGCTCGTCTCGTTCCAGCTACTGAGGAGATGACAGATGTAGGCAAAGGTCAAAGTACCTTCCTTTTGTTTCAAGTTCAACATTGGTCTTGCAGCATCATTTATTATTGGATCATACTGCTGCATGACCAATGCTAGGAATGCTGGGTCATTCCTCTGTGGGTTTGGAATTCCAGAATTCCTAGTGTATCACTTAAATAAGTGATTCACATAGGCCACAGGATTTCCCCCTCTCTCTGGCTTAGTCTCCAGAATTCTCCCCCAGTTTGACTGTGGATTGCCAATCATGGCTAATAATGCTGCCTCTCTCTGCTGTGCATTTGCCTATTCACCATCAACAGCTATTATGAGATTATCTGGGAGTGACTCCACTAGGTCTGCAGGTATGGTTAGCTGTATTTGGCAGCAGTCTTGATTGTCTAGACCATTTGCCCTGGCTTGTCTCTCTAACTCAGACAAATATGGCCGAGGATCAGACGCACCATCCCATTTACCTACATTTCTGCATAAATTATCCCAGCTCAGATGTAGATAGTAGGATATGCTTGTGTATCTCCTGATATTCATACTGTGCAGTGGCAGGCTGCCCGTCAACCTTGGCAGCTGCCCTTCTGCATGTCCTGCGCTCTCTCACATGAAATGGTGCAACTTTAACTGGGCTCACATTAGCTCCCTCATCGAAAGTGTCACTATCACTGTCACTATCACTGTCAGAATCCACCGGCAGACTAATGCCCAAAGGTGCAACATGTCCCTTAACCCGTTCTAATTTGCTCTTTAGAACAGTATCCTCATCCCCAGCATGCTTTTTATGCACTTCTGGGTTTTTAATGCTTCTGGACCAAAGTGCCTCATAAGCATTCTGACAGTTCTCCAGTTCCTTTTGGAGGAATGCATTAGCTTCCTTAGCCGCTTCCAGGCCCTGCCTAAGAGAAGCTACTAGTTGCCTCAGTTCAATGCTGTTTTCTGCAGCTAGCCGACGCTCTGCTCGACTAGCAGAGTTCTCCTGTTCGAGACTCTCTATTCTGTTCCTCAATTCACCGATTGTACTCCTATGCTGAGTACACTCAGACTGCGAACTTGCCAGTCTGCCGTTAATTTCTTGCTGTCCTTCCAGCAAGGCCTGTAACACATTGGCATGCCTCTGCTTTTTCTTGGAACATTTCATATTCCTCTCCCTGTATGCCTCCTCTAGCCATTCTAGAGGGTCTAGCTTATCTATGAGAGATCCATATGATCCCTCCTTGCAATGCTTTGCAACATATCCAATGACCCACTCCATCTTTGTAGGTTCTGAGTATAAATTTAAACTCTCACAGTATAAACTTACACAATATACCTACAGTGGTGGTTTACCTCAAGGACACAGGGTTACAATGTGGGGAACCCTGCTGGTGCTTTCTTACCAAAGGCCAGTTCCTCTACAAACACACCTCCTGTTTACCCTCTATTACTAATAAACAGGTCAAACCAGGAGAATTCTCATGCCTAAGTCTTGAATTACTCCCTATTTCCTATATTACTTTACTGTTCGTCTCAGCGGACGTCTGATATCGCAAACCAGTTATACTCACAAGCGTGATTCTTTCTGGGTCCTTCGGTTTGCAGAAGAAGGTGGCGCGTCTGGAATGAAGCTTTCTGGTCAGTCTTCTCTCTTAGGTGAAGAAATCTTCTCTCTTCTTGAGGAAAATATCAGCCAAAAGGTTCCCAGATGACTCTTCCAGTTGTTAGCCCCTTCTCCTGGCTGGCTCGCCAATAAGATGTAAGGAATCCACTTGCAGAGTCTCCGCAGTTTCAGCAAAATGGTGGTTTATTGAACAGTAAAAATAATATAATGTGATACAGTGTAGACATACACCGGGTACTGAAAGGCAGCTCAAATACAAATTAAGGGCAGTTCTTCACCCCCCTTTATACCCCAAAAGACCCTCCCCAACAAGGTATTGTGTGTAGGTGTTGTGAGTGAATTTACATATAAAGAGTGACCCCCTGGAGTGTGAGGATCCTGAGACAGGGACGGGACAGGACAGGACGGAGATTTCCCGTGAGAGCAAATGGTAGCTCAGCCACTTCTCTGGCCACTGTCAATTGAATTATCTTCCTTATCACCCTAGTGGTGCCAAATGGAACCCCTTATTCTCTCCCTGACTTCCCCCATGCTCATAACTTGCTAACATTGTCTGTATTCAAATAAATCAACCAAGAACCTTGGGGCATCTTTGCTGCTTTTCCTTACACTGTCAAACCACCGATGTGATAAAGGCCTACCTCACCCTTTCCTTTCCAGATCTGTCAGTCAAAATTTCTGTTTCCCCAATTGCCCAAAGTGACTTTAGGGCAGCAGGTGTAATTAAAAGATAAATAAAAACCATTGCATCTTCTCACTTAAGATTTTCAGCTACTAGTGGTGTTTGGAGATGACAGTGGGCACATACATAAAAAAGATTTGTTTTAGATATTTTGTGTTTCTGATGACTGGACAAGGTCACATCTTTCACCTGAAAGTTAGAGTCTCCAGCCATCTTTATAAATGCATCTGGCTAATAAATGCTCACTCCCCTGATACCATTTTTCACTCACTATAAGATTGGCATCATCTTCTGTCTGACTATAGACAGGTTTTGGTTCTTTGTAGACTTGTCTTGATAGGTTTGTCAGTGAGCCGTGAGTAATAAGTGAAACTACAGCAGAATTGCAAATGCTTTGAATCCTCCAGCCAAAAACACATTGGCCATGTTAGGAGCTTGTAATTTTCTGTGCTAATGCAGCATATGATAAAGCCTAAAAATGTATTGCATTAGTCTTAACAATGTATTCTGTTCAAATGATAGCTGTCTGTACTGCTTGGATATTTGGAGGAAAGCTTCAGAGGATTCATTATAGTGATACCTGTAATACGGCTATCATCAGCAAGAAGATATTTGTTTTTTTTTCAGTAAAAAAATCGTATTGAAATATTAGTTTACCAATTGAATCACAATCCACTGAAAAATACTAAATTATTATCAAAGTGCTTTGCCTATCATCGTGAATCAATTCACTTGTTACATACATCCTTTTTTAATTTCATCACTCACTGTAACACTCTAATTCTGTTTCGCCAGGAGCAGCCAGGGGTTCATGCACATGAAGCTGTCCCGAACCAAAGAGAACAAGTTCGTCCTGGGCCAGAACAGCTGCCCCTTCGACAGTGTTCCCGAGATCATCCACTTCTACTCAAGCCGCAAACTGCCCATCAAAGGGGCAGAGCACATGTCCCTGCTGTACCCTGTGGCCATCAGAACGCTATAGTGCAGGTCCAGTCCAGTGATCGACTGGGCCAAATGTCCCCAATATCATTCTTTTTCCCTTCTTTTTTTTTCACGGCTGAACTACATCATCAGAAAACCAGGAAGGGGCCAGGACAGAATTCAAGATGGTCTGATAATCACGTCATCAAGTCGGGGCTCAAATCCAGCTTCTTGTTAGATCAACATGGGACCACGAATTTCTGCTTTGACTCATTCCACGATATGATGAACACAATGGTCCCTTCTCTGACCTAAGCTGTGCCAACCGTCTAAAGACTTTACTGACATGTTACATCACTGACCTTAGACCTGCACTGTTAAACCTAAAGGAGTGAGGTTAGATAAGTATCTGCTGTGAGAGCGCCATCTCCTGGACCTTCCCACTTTCTCTTCTTCTGTCTTGCAAAGCAAAGAATTCCATAACGGAGAGAACAGAAGCAGGGACTTGTAAAGTCAATCTGACTGCCTGCATCTTAGGTATTCTGTTTTCTATGACTTACATGAATGTCAGTGATTGTGAAGAACAGAGCAGCTTTAGATGATGATCCTCCTCACGCTGCCTGTGTAGGCTGGGCCAACAGGGGCCCTATCACCTATTATGAATTTATTACATTTGTTGTTTCAACAAATGTTTAATTTCCGCTAATTGCCTTTTGTCATGTGCGCACATAATGAAATATACATTTCATTTTTAAAAGAAAGGCATGACATTGAAATAACTTATGTTCCCTTTGGTTAGCTAGAATTTGTGGCCCAGAAGAAGATCCCCAATGCAGTCATGTATTTTACCAGAGCATACGTGCGGTTCTTTTTAGTTTACAGTTAATACCTTCAGCTAAAGATACTCCGCTGTACTGCAATAGGGTTTATGTAAGGCTTCATGGGAACCTGTGTCCAGCATCTGCCCAACCAGCCTTGTAATTTCCCTATCGGGCTGTCTCCCCACCTCTGTCTTGTGCTTCATTCTCAAGCTATGAAGCTCACGGTGGCACAGATAGCAACCTTTCCTGTCTATAATCAGTTTACTTTAAATATTCCTAAAATAGGTCAGTTTGAAGTAAGAGGGTGGCATTTTCTTGCATTGTCTACCTCAAAAAAAAAAAATTACCCCTTTTGATCAACAGGTATCACAAGGTTTCAAGAATTGACTTTCTAACCTTTTGTAATTGTAAATTAATCGAATTAACTTTATCTACTGGCATTGCTCTATGTAGTCAGTCCTGAAAACTTCTATGCCAGTAATAATAACATTGCATGGGTAAAATTACTATAATATATTCACAGATTTGAGTTTTCTGTGTGTGAGAACTTCTGGCTATTACATCACAGAGGCCACCTCTGCCGTCTCACTGTACTGTACTTTGCCATGATTTTTAGAAAGAGCTTGAAAGCCTTACCCACATCCATTTTACAGCCTTTCAATTTCCCTCCCTTCTTAGTGTCCTGTCTTTAATCCTCTTTGACTCTAGACATAACCTCCTGCTGACTGGATTATCTCAGAATCACATATGCACCACTTATCTCACTAAAACACTTGCTCTCTGACCTACATTTGAGTTCTTGCCCGCTAACTCGTCTCTAGTGGATCTCTGATAGCCTTATTCACTTGATATCAACCGTAACACCCTCTCACCTACACAGCAAACTTATTTTTTCTTTATTACTGCAAAATTACCCTATTTCAGTGACATGGCTCAATGCCAGTGAGCCTTTTCCTTGACAGTATAATTTACTTTGCCTTTTTTTTGCCCTGAGCGCGCTCTCTCTCTCTCTCTCTCTCTCTCTCCCCCTCTCCCCCCTTCCCGGTGTCTCAAAGCTAAACTATCCAACCTCAGCTACTAAAGATACAGAGGGGCCTCAGTGAACTTAAGACTTTTCACATGATTAGATGATCACAAGCTCCAAAGTATTTTCAGGGAATGTATTTTGACTTGGCATACTGTGTCTGTAGACAGCTACTGAGGGACTAGGCACTAATTTTCTGGGCATTCTGAGGTACTCTTTCCCCCCCCCAGATTTCAGAAAGAAATTTAGGACAAGAAACTGGAATAATGCTAACGAGTGCTGTCCTGACCAGATCTGAACTGAAACTGTACTTAACCTCGGATGTTTTTCTGCCTGTGAGTCCATTGCTCCATAATGTGTTTTAAAAATGCTGAATGTGGTATGATGGGTGCGGACTGAAATGTATTTGTGAAGCGGGACACACAGTGCCACTTCAGGAAGGGGACGACTGTCATTCAGAATCTGTCCTGTTCCTAGAAAACCATCCATGCGTTACGTGAAGTATTGTTGGTAGGGTACCCTCCTTGCTTCCAAACCATGTGCCCCTTACTGCTTGCTTGTTTGTGTGTAATGCCCTCCTACACATGTGCACTAATGTAACACATCCATGTGTCCCACCTCGCCAAATGTATATAACTGAATGTATTGTAATGGGTTCATGGCAAGATGCAATGATTATGGAAAATAAAATATAGATTATGAATCAAAGATGAGTCCCTTCCTTTTTGCTGCAATGCTGTTCAGGGACTTATGTTTCCATAATTATTTTGTCAAGGCCCTCTGATATTTGTCATGTGATGTTTGTATAATAATTCTGTGACTGTTTATATATGAGCCTGACAATGGGTGTTTTTTTTTTAACCTATGTGACATCATATTGGCTAAAGTCATTATGGGACTTTTATAGTTTAAATACAAATTAAAAACTTATAAAATTGTCAGTGTACAGTGCATGTGCTACATGAGTCATGCAAAGAAAAAGAGATAGAAAAGTCAAATAATAGCAGCTGTCTGTAAAATCTTACAGTGTCCATAAAAGACCTCAACAAACATTCAGAGGAGTACCGGTTTCCATGGTGAATCTTTAGCTGACAGTAAGCACGAGGCACTGGGGAGAGAATGAGAACTCAGGGACAGCCCTAGACACACTGATGCTTTAAAAGAAAAAAAGGCAGGTGTTCAGGGTTCAGTTCTCAGGAGGAATAGATTTCATCCCTCTGCAGAACAGAAGAAAGGGTACAGTATAGGACTGTCAGAAAAGACGCTGAAATATTCCTCTGCAACATGTACATCTAAAATCAAATCGGCACTGTTTGTTTCCCTCTGCCTTCAATCATCAGTGGCACTTTCTGTCACCCTCCACTCCAGCAATACAGATAAGGGCTGATGGTTACTTTTACCATACGTTACATTCTTCATCGGAGATCACTGAGTTGATTGTGCCAGATCCATACTGGAAAAGCTGCCTAAATGCTGTAAGGAGCTGACCTCCTTCAATTAGCTTTTAAAGAGCACACAATTAAATCATTAGTGAAGAGAACAATATGGAAATGAGCACAATAGTTCTGCACATGTCTACATCTGTAGTGAACTCCAACACAGGGTGCAGGTCACCCTAATTATCAGCAGGCAAAAGGAAGGTAGAGACGATACCCTGAATGAAGATGTGGTACTTCTCTCCTAGAATGCAAGCTGCTTGACTGCAGACATCTCCACCTCTTTTACCCTTACCCCCAACAGAGGACCGGTGACACCATGGCTGTCTCCGAATCCAGGAGCTGCACCCTTCTAAGGCTGCATTCTAAGACCGAATGCGTCAGAGCAGCGCGACAAGGCTGTCCCATTAGGAAGGCTAAACATGCGTCCATCTTTTGCTGAGTAATGAAGGATCCACCCGATGGGTCCTTCATAGCCCAACATTACCAATTTGCAATGATTCTTGGGATAAGTGGGCATGTCCTGACTAGTCGATAGGAGCGGCACTTTGTAACTCAATGGTAAGAATGGGATCAGAACGACCAGACGATGCCATTTGACAACGTTTTCAACTCAACCTTCAAAGAATGCAGCCTACAAAGGCTATGCCTTCTTAGTCAGCGTCCTTCAAATGATGCAGCCCCTGAATTCGATCACAGTCCATGAAAAGCAGATTTCCCTGATATGATTTCCTAGCATTAAATGCCAAGCAATGATACACCATTTTTAACGTCCGGGCAGTAGGAAACATAACCCTTCTATAATGGGTGCAGGCTTTTCACATCAGTACCCCCTTTGATTTCAAAGGATTCCATATACATTAATAAATCAGACCTACATATATTGTGAAAGGTTATGCCCATGGTAGGTATGAAATGATACAAAATGGGAGCAATGGTATGACAAAAGTAATGAAGCAAGTCTGGAACATTGCAGTTAAATAGAAATATATTTCAGTAAAAAGTTGACAGAAGCATTCAAACTTGACTGACAATCAAATAAAGAATACCCAGAACTGTCAGCCACAATGGTGGCAAAGGGACACAGATATGACATATGAGAGTGTAGCAGATGTTGGCATGAAGCCAGACATCAGCTTGAACAGCCTGCTTCCCACGAGGAGGATGCATTTGGCAGATATTCTGTAGGGAGGATAGATCAAATGAGCTTTTTTCCAAAAAGGAAAAACAACTTTAGGAATTTGTGTGGAAACCCTGGTGAGGTCTCCAGAGGTGAGATGATCTGAGGAGAGAGTGGGATTTAGCAGAGACTCTGGTGGATTAGTGTCCTGCGAGCAGATGGTGGCTTTTAATGGATAGAGGATAAGCATGTGCTGCAGTACAGTGGCAAAAAGTATGTGGATTCTTTGGAATTACCTGGTTTTCTGCATTAATTTCTTGTAAAATATATGATCTTCATCTAAGTCACAAATACAGACAAACACAATGTACTTAAGCTAATAACACCGACAATTATAATCTTTCATGCCCTTATTAATTACAACCACTAAACATTTCAAGTGCTGTGGAGAATAGTAAGTGAACCCATGGATTTCATAAGTGGCAGAACCTCCTTTAGCAGCAATAACTTCAACCAACCACTTCCAGTAGCTGTGACTCGTATATGCACATTGTTCATGAGTTTTGAACCATTTACCTTACAGAACTGCTTCAGCTCAGCCATATTTTTAGGATGTTTGCTGTGCACCTCTCTATTGATGTCATTTTTCAACATCTCTATTTCGTTAAGGTCTGGGTTCTAATTGGGCCACTCCAAAAGGCAGATTTTCTTTTCTTTTGAAGCCATTGTGTAGTACAGAGGTTCCCAAATTGGGGGTGCATCCGCTAGGGGTAACATGAATTTACCTGGGGGGGTTGTCCTGATCCTGATGGCTGGACCAATGTTAATTTTGGTGACAAAACTATGACAAATTTTATTTGTCAACAAAAACTTGTCACTGATGGAAATGAAGCGATACTGAAATACAAATTAATATATGATGCCAAAAAACTATGAAGAATTCTACTTTCAGAAACCATGCAGTTTTGTCTGTGAAGTTTGTCTGTAAATTATTTTGCCATTATGTCTATGCCACTGTTTGCTTTGGACAGGAAAAAATGTACAAACATATGGAGAAGTTTCACCTTTGATGTGTAACAAAACAAACCTCAATACAAACCATGTGGGGGTATGTTTCCCAAACCCTCCCATTAGTAACTTACATAGCTGGAACCATTCGGTTGTATGGTTGCAACAATGCTTTTGGGAAACATACCCTGGAGTGGGAGTAAGGGTTAGAAACACCACAAACAGCAAAGTACTTTTTTCAAATGAACAGAAACACATACTTGCTTTTTCCTTTAATGTGAAAAGTTCCCTACTGAAATTCACTGCCACAAAATTAATTAAATGTAGAAATAAGCACAACACAGTTGGTTTTCACTAGTCTGTTACCTGAGAAAACACTTCTTTTCTTTATTCAAGTTCTATGCCCTGGCATTTTTTCATTTACAGTTTTTCTCAGTTGCTTTGGTACATTTTTCAGATCAGAAAATGAAATTCTCATAACTACCTATCCAACCTCCACATCATTGAATCACTTGTGCGTATCATAAATGCAAATTTTCATTCATTTGGTAAGATTGCAAATGCTTTGGCAAAGTCAAGCAAATGATTTTATACAGTAAAGTGCTGATTCCTACATTTTCACGTGTTTATGACATGTGAGTCAAAATTTATTATACTGGTGAATAGTCTTATCCCCCAAAACATTCATTGTATAAGTCATTACAAGCAAAATGGTTGAACCAGTTTTCATAATCAGTCAAGCATAATCTCCCTATTTTTTTGGACAGGGTAAACAGCCAGAAAGAAGAAGAGGAGTAGGGCTGTATGGTGGAAGGGTAGGGAGACAAAACAAAGGAAGAAGTAGAAGAGGCCAAGAACAGAGGCACGTTCCTTCATCAATGGCTGAGGCTGGTCAAAGGGTGCAGCTGAATGCTAGGAGAACAACAGTGTCCTCAATCATTCAGACGTTTGATAGAGACAACAGCTATGTAATCCAACAATGTGTACTGTCACTTTTGTAATACTGTATACTTACTACAGTGCTACAGTTACATGCTGGACATACACTCACCTAAAGGATTATTAAGAACACCATACTAATACGGTGTTTGAC